GGGGGGGGTTGTGTGTGCGTTTGGGAAAAACCTGCTGCATTGGGAAAAAATTTTTTCCCTGTCGTTGACTTTCGCGATTTTTTTCTGTTTCATGTGAATTATATTCCCCTTATATACCCCCCCCCCTACTCGACGGAAAATTTTTAGGCGAAAAACTGGAAATGGGAACCACGTAGGTAGGCTTTCGTGAGGGGGGGGGGTCGTACTGAGACTCTCGCTTAGATGTGCAAGGTCGTAATGATCTGCTCCCCCGAGGGGGGGGGGGGGGAACGTACTGACACCACCATTTCACACATCACGATGTTGTACTCTGCTTGGTATCTGACCGTGAATCAGCGTAAAGGATAAAGGATAAAGTCTTCGCCGTTGATCAATCCCTTTGTGGGATGCGGCACGCATTCTACTTCCATTCAGAATCGTAGTGGCTTATTGAATGCGATGTGGCCTATACAATGACTTGCGGGGCCAGCCGATGTACAGTCAGTGTTCTTATTCTCCCAGACGAATCGGGTGCCAACTTACCGTTACCAAAGGTTGAAAGGCTTGGTTGATCTGTGCGAGCCGCTGCGGGATTTGAAGTCTGGGCCGCGCCGCAGTCAGCCTGCCACTTGTCACTGCACATCCCTCAAACTAGTGAAAAATCGGGTAAATTTTTTTCTTCTTGTACCCTCCAATCGCACTTTCACCGTTAGGCATGACTAACGAGGAACTAATAGACGGAAATAGTGCTTTTTTTTCTTTGAAAATTGCGGTGGATTTTTGATAATCATACTAAAGACGTCAAGCGTTCAGCTAGCGCTAAGTCTCCCTCAGGAAGAAGCGGACTAATTGAACGAAATTTTCAGTATTGGGAATTGATAAGGATGTGTCGGATGTATTCGCCGACCCCGCCGGAACGGGATCGGAAATGGAAGCAGTATTCCAAGCAAAAACTCGAGACGAATGGATGAAGCTTTTTGCTGGTGACGTTCTTATTCCATCATATTGCCAATCGGTTCTGTATGGCTTAGGAGGGGCACTTTGCACTTTTGCTAGTTCACCTTGACTAACAGGTCTCACTCTGGTTACAGAAATTTGCAGATCTTCATGAAGTGTTCTATACGAACTTCGCTTGGTACCGCTTGATACCCCACCGAGCCAAAATGCGCCTTAAATTGTTACTTTTGATCTGGGCCAAGCATGGAAGTGCTTCAATTTCAGGAAAGCAAGCCTGTGTGACGCCCGTACTAGACCTCGACGAAGCTGTGCAGTATGAGCATAACGTGGCGCGAGGAAGCTTCACGAAGCAGGATGACCGATCTGTTCCTCAACCAGCGCCCAGAATGTACTCCAGCGAGGAGTTCAGAAAACTCATTTCTAAACTTTGATCTCTTCGTCTCTTCGAACTACTTGCTCCATTCAGTACGCAAAGATTCCCCGTGTAAATGGCACTCTGGATAAATCGATCTCTTTGAGTGTGTACATGCATTGTTGAACGATAGATGTACTTGCACGTGGCACAGTAACGTCATGTTCGCTGTAAACGCTGGGGCGGGTCAGAAGGCTGAGTTTGGCACGGTGCCAACCCGCTCTCCACCAAGTTGTCGTTTGCCCCGCCTGATGGTGGAGAACTGGCTGAACTATCGTGGCCCATAACTGAGCCAGATGGGATCAGAACAGTACTGGTTAGGCGTAAACTCGCCTCGAAAGAAGTTTAGACCCCTGACTCATGTAGTTGATATCGTCGCAATCAAACACGGCAGTGACAAGAGTCAATAAATGTGCCCACCTGCGCGACTAATACCATTTGGACGCGTTTAGGCTCCTGGCTCATTTATGAAGTGCCTAAATCACCAAATCCGATTACGATTCGGGTCCTGTGACTAGAGTTTCGCTCACTTGTAAACTACAAACAATTTGTGAGGCAGTGATCGGTAGCGAGAGTTGGGTGATCGCTATGCAACCCTTATCAAACCCTTTTGAGGTGAATCAGATGCCGTCCTTCATATAGCTTACTAGCAATATCGCTGCTTATACGAGTCCGTCGACAGTTCACGGGGAATTTAAATGTCAACAGTACTTGTTGTTTTTGCTGCGAAGAATACTCGCTCAACAAACTTCTTCCCTATTTCCTCACTTCCGCGCACACTATGTTTCAAAAACCTCTTTGAAAGCACTAAACAGGCTGATAGGGTCCACAGCCTTACTGGTGTTAGCGTTAAAAGTGTCCACCACTTGTCGATCCGTGTGGAGAGACTCCGGCGAGACTGCCAAAACGATTTTTGCGAAGATGCTACGCAGGCGCAACGAGTGGTCCATGTTTCATTGTCGCGAGATTCGTTGTTTCTCGTCAACCAGAACTGATTCCTATGCTTCTTGCAGTATGTATATGGTTGCTGCAAATCGCAATCAAGTCATCAACTTTTCTCACCTGGGCAGTGGGTATCGTAATCTGGGCGCACCGGGCGGATGTAACCGGAACCTGCCGCGTTCGATACATTGTTTGCTGGCCATACAGCTTCATTTTGCTACGATGGTCCTCCTCTCTCTTGTCATCGGAGAAATCTTTTTATTTGGTCACTGAGCACGCTTGCTACGCCAAACTTGAGATGTTCGCTCGAGGCATTTGTTATATAACTTCCTACATTCTCTCGGAGGCTGTGAACCTGCCATATTCATTTCTTACTCCTGGTCGTTCCGGCACTCGATTGAGTGTAGGCATATTTCAGGCTCTATTAACTGTTAAGAGTAACTTGTTAATCCTATATATTCAATTGAAACGGCTTTCAATTAATCTCGGCATATATGTAGTATATAGTACAGTAGCTTGATCGTTTAGCCTTCCGAGATTGGTAACGACGTTTATTAGACTAATGTTTCGGCAAAAATCGCCTTCTTCGGAGTCCTCTTACGACCTGGCGAGGTCGTGGAGATCAGCAAGATCGACCTCTCACGTCACCACCGTCTTTTATAGGCCATTAGTTCCCGCCAAGATCGGGTCTCTTCCTCGGGTGATCACGAATGATCTGCCCTTCAACGACCTTCACTAAAGAATCGGAAGGTTAGTCCGTAGTAAGGAGCTACAGGTAGTAGTTTGAACTATACCTGTTTGCGAGACCGCGGTCTGGTCGTCTGTACTCTGCTGTAAGCTTGAGCCTTACACTTGGCCCTTACTAATCCGTCTCGCTAAAACAATGCTGTCTTACAACTGGATATTTCCAGGTCCTTTTTCTGTAAGGGTATCCACTCCTATTCATAATACTTTTGGACACATGTAGGCGCTCGGCGTCAAGACTTCTCGTATGCGCTCTCCTCGTTATTTTACAGAAGGGGTTTATTTTACCTTATCAAAGCACGAACATCTACAGAGGACCCGACGAGTCTCACTTCTGCCCCAGCCCATAGCAACGGGCAGAGTCGCATTTGGCTCCTGGCCTTCTGACAGTGCTTGTTGACTGTCGCGGTTTTTTTTCTGATTTAAATCCCCCCGCAAACAAGGCGTACGAGGGATTCAAGGTAGGTTTCAAGCGGTTTTTTCTGATTTACATCCCCCGCAAACAAGGCGTAGGAAGGATGCGAGGTAGGTTTCAATTTGAGATGATTGTCAACTTGTCTTCTGTCAGTCAAAGACAGTTGTCCAAAAATGGAAATATCACACAAAAGCGCAGCTACAATGTCCAGTGAAGCACACAGCCACGCCTACCGCATCTCTCGGATTTGACGTACATTTACTAGGAAGTCCATACACTTTCTCAGAGACAGCCACTTATCCCCAACCACGATAGTATCACATTCATTGGAGAAAGTTTCTTCTGTTCTGCAAGCGCAGATGCTTTTTTTCTAAAACATGAATTAAACGGCCAATCGCGTATTTCATGCATTTAATATAAACACTGATTAAAACCCTTTCATAACGTGCGATCGTTGTTCCTAAAAGCACATCACAAATAATAAAATTAGAACAGTTACAGGCGAGAATCAAATAGATCTCTATTTAAAATTATTTCTATGGAATGCTGGAGTTGAAAATGCACAACTAATGATTATCACGATACCCTGGAACACGTTAAATCACAATCACAATTCTTGCAAAGACCATGAGAGAAGAGTAAAGCCTTTAATGGAGGTTTTCCAAGAATCCTTTAACACATAAAGAATACACTGACTGCTACACCAAAACACCAACCTAATCACAGTTTTGTCATTTGAGTAATTAACCTACTAGTATAAGCTTTCACAACCCGTTCAATAAACGAATCATTGCACAGAACTCAATGAGTACAGAACACGGAAGTCGGATAGATCAAACTCAGACAATGAGAAGATATACAAGAAAACACACTGAGATGAAACTATGAACAGTATTGCTTAAGTAGTTTGAGAAGACATGCATTGAAAGTTGTGAGGGCTTGTAACCCCTAAGTCGATCCATACTTTTCCATCCATTCAATATACTGTCGAATATTTTCCTACAAAAATAGCCACTAGGTGATTGTTTATTTCTCTACAACGCCGAGTGGAAGTAGGATGCGTGGAGCATATGCGAAAAATTATCACTGCCTCGAGCTTTATATACAGGGGGGCCCAATAAAAAAGTCACTTTTCTTCCTTGACTTTCGAGGCGCTATAAGTTACACTTTATTAAATTCTGATCGGACATTTCCACCACCATATTAAGAGCATATTAAATACTATCATGACACTCCGCCACAGCCTTCTGGACGAGCGCCATCGAGAGATTCTGGCGACCGCGATGTGGTGCCTGAGATCAGCGAGATAGTCGATTTCTCCGCCACCGTAGACCATTTCTCCGCCACCGTAGACCACTCTATTGAAGCTTCGCCCGACTCGGGTAATTGATTGAGGGTTTAGGTCAGGTGACTCACTTGGATATTCCATCTCCTTTAGGTACTCAACGCCTTCCATATTGCATAAGTAGGCGGAGATGTTTTTTCAACGCCCTCCGATTTCCATGTGGTGTCACCCAAGCCTGTAGCCAGCTGCAAAGTTTCCAGAAGGGTGTACGGGCACGACGTACATGTGGGAGAAGTATTTCTTCTCAAGTTGCTTGATGTAACCATCAGCGCTCACCTTCAGTCCGGAGTCCACGAAAATATAGGTCTTTCCATACCAGGTACATCCGGCCCATACATCGAACCGTGGCCTCGGCCGACTGTGGATATGAGGTCCTACGTAGCGTGGTTGTCCGTACTTTCGGAGCCTGGTTCGTTGGTCTGGAGGTCTTTCCAGATCGCAGGTACTCTGTCTCCAGGTAGCGCTATAATGGCTGACCTCCATTACCAGAAGTTTTCGCAGCTGTTTGGAGGTGACGTGAATTTCAAAGGTCTTCTCCAGTCAGACTGCTACTGGAGGTGACTTCATATTTTAGTGTACATGAAGTTGGTGGGCAAGAGCCAGCTCCTGCTTATCGTGGAACATCTTGGGGATCTTCCGCCCTGGTACTCGCATCCTTCTGTCTGGGCTGCGAAAACGTTGCTGATATGTGATCGAAGTGACTTTTTTTCCCCCCCCCCCCCCCGTCTAGCTCTCCGAAACATTGAAGCATATACATTACCTCGGACACGGACGGATTCGCTTACTCGCTATAAGGCCCTCTGAATGATTCCTGCCATGTACCATAGGAAGATCCACTTCTTTATCCCCCCTCTTCTAGATAATTTGGCTATCTCAGCTGGTGACATCATACGAGTTAATCTGAACGCAGGATCATACTTATGACGCGTAAATATAACAGAACATTCGCAAACATCTAAAGCTGCCACTGAAATCTGCTTAACCCAGTAGAGTAACATCTCCTATACTAGTCCTAGAGATTTTAGACTGAGCCATACCCAAAACAAGGATGATCATAAAACAGCCAAGTTACCTTTTCACGCCCATTAACGCTGCCTTTCTGCAAACATTAGTTATGTCAGCTCCAGAGTATCCATCCGTAGTCTATCGGCGAATGAGTTCAGAGGTCAACAGTCGTTCCGTTATCGAACCTTAGCTGCTCAGATTACTCAAAAAACTTTTGAGTTGTTATAAGAATCGTCATAAGACCACTGCCACGCCATCAAACAATTCCCCATCTGCGAAGAAGGGTAACATCAAGACCGTCGACCATCATTGGCGATAAATTTGATCTCGATTTTGTGGTATTCAAATGAGGAAGATATCCATAATACTGCCTGCATTTTCTTTATCACGTGGGAAAAGTTGACATAGAGCTCAAAGTTCATTTGAAAGGGCTGAGGAACCGGAATTCGGCTTAGCGTCTAGCACCAGCCTTTCGAAAAGCTTCCTAAGCCCGCGATGCACAGTAAAGGCCCCATGTGTAGCTCAGTTCAATCCGCATTTAAACATACTATGATGTTGAAAAGAATTTGAATGCGTGCATCATCCCAGATGGGTGTATAGAAATATAGCAGCTCACACAGTCATGATAGTTTTCCCTCTGTTGCACTGTTGCTTCATCGCGAAATGGTGAAACACAAGGCGTTGACCACTTTACTCATCACTAACTACGGCAGTCACATTTGTGTGGGTGTTTGGCTTCACCCCAGACTGGTGGTGGCGAACAAAAGGTAGAACTCGGTTAGCTAGCTCCAGCTTCGCCCTTTTCGGAACCTGGGCATTTGTGAAGTATCTTAGGAACGCTGAGTCATGGACAAAAGACTTAATCGCAAACGGAACTCAACCTCGCACCTCATGCCTTCCGGGCGAGGGCGCTAATCGCTGTGACACCAGGGCCCCCTCTCATCCTTATGCCGTATGTAAAGTACCTTTTCCTACACTAACATGCCGACCTGGATAACCTGTGCTCTCGATTCTTCTACACAAATCTCGCACCAATCAAGCGACTCCGGGATGAAGAAAGACATGTACGACTGCACGGCACCAGTCATGGCGATCAGATATGGCTATTGCAACGGCGTCATTTCTTCCCCTCCCCTCCTCCGCAAACAAGTGTTACGCAAAAATAACAATATTGCGAAACGAACCTCCTTTAGAGACGAACACAGGAGCGATTTTCGTGCTGGTTTGTCGGGAAGTGGAATGTAAATCCTTTGTTCAAACCTACGGCGTAGAGCTTCATCTAAAACAAGCGTTGATCGGGAGGTAAACAGGAGAAAAGGTGAAAACAATGCACCGAACCCCACAAAAAATTCAGAAGTATACTTCGGCTCCGAAACTGTTTTAGAGAATACGGCATACACGTTGATGAAGTCCCAACTATGCAGATTCAGTATTACAATAGAGTCAACGGTCAGGCACATTTATAACTCTCAACTGAAAGTTCTGGAAGTGCATCCAATCTCTATACGCCCCACCTTTTAGTCTTCAGCTGGCCTATACAAAAAAGTCGAAGCGGAGAATGGAGCAAAGGCGGTCGAGCACAGTTTGCTTGACCCAGTTGGCGTGAGTGCCTTGCTAGGCACAGGAACAAAGGTTCGCCTTATCCTATAGAATTCACAGAATTCGATGTTTTTCCCTTCCACTAATGAGCACACAGGAAGGGCTATGCTTTCGCTCGGTTTCCGTCTAAAGGCACATGCAAAACGGAAGCTGAGTTACAACTTTGCTTTCGCCCCCCCCCCTCAACATTTTTCATTTGTTCGATTTTCCAACCTAGTTAATTAGCTTCCATTTCCAACAAATTTTCTTTGGTAACTGTTTCACGAAGTTATGCACAAACGGTGGCCGCCCGGCTACGCAGAAAAAAACCATTTGCTTTGTTGATCTTGACTGCCGCAATACTTCCAAACTAGGAATGGCCCATGAATTAAAGAAAATCGGAAAGATCTATGATTCAGCTCCCCAAGTTCATGTTAACGCAACTGTAAGTGGGTAGCCGTATTGCTGCGATACCACTGCATCTGAGACTGCATCTTTTAAAGCTCGTTGAGCTGAAGGCGAAAACCCACCCAACATCCACGGGAAATTTGTAGCCGCCAAGACTAGAACTCGTTTTCCATCTTCTTCCTTGCAAAATCCATCCATCTCTACAAGGAGCTGAGCCTTCACCCTGAAAGGCAATTCTTTTGATTTTCAAGGTTATGAACTTCCATCAGAAACTTCCTCAAAGTTTTCAATTGGGCTGAGTTCACACTTTGCGTAAGCGTTCTAGACGTACGCGAGCGCTTTCAGCGACCGCCCGCAAGAATTGAAAGCCACCCACGAAAGCGCTCAAAAAGCTGGCATATGCTCAGAGCGCTAGGTAGATTACATGACATCAAAACGCTAACGCAAAGTGTGAAAGGCTCGAGGGCAGCGGCAGCTTTAAACAAGCTTCAAATCAGTCTTACGAATTGAAAAGGACGTCTTTGCATGCATAAGGCTCATTGCAATTCGCTAAATGTTCAAAAGTTATTCACCGTCGACTAGCTTCATGCTCATTTGCTTGTCCACGTTGACTTCCGATGGTATCGATCTCATCGATGAATATTGTGGACGGTGCAAAATGTCGAGCCTGAAGATGAAGTTAAATACTGTCATCAACAACAATACATATATAACGACAAAGTTTTATTTGGTTGAAATTCAGTGCCTGAAACTCACCATTTCGAATAGGAGCTTGATCATTTTCTCCGAGTCACCACGCCATTTACTGGCAAGATCTCCGCAGTTTACAGCAAAGAACGTAGTCTGGCATTCGGTAGCTACGGCTTTTGCTAAAAGCGTCTTGCCAGTGCCTGGTGGTCCAACCATGCATACTCCACGCCACGGTCGGCGAATTCCCTGGAACCATGTTTCTATACAAGGCATTCAGAATTCACTAAGCAAGCAAACTCGGCGACTGTAGATGAGTGGGAGGTACGAACTATATTCTTCTGCACAGGGAGCCGAAACTGTGCGCAAACTTCAGCCACTGCGCTCTTTTGAGATTGCGCTTTAGGAATACAGCACGTCGCACGCTGGAAATCCACAACGGGTAGAGGTCCTATTTGGAAGCTGAAGGAGGGGGGGGAGTCACGCAGTCATTCCTCATGCAAATGTTTTCGGGTGTTGATTTTTCTCGTTTTGCCTATTTCACTATTTACCCTATTCCCCCTCAACAACGTCTCTTGAGAAACGAATTTGAAAAAAAGAAGTAGGGAAGTGGGAGATAGGGTAGTAGGGGAGGGTCGTACCAAGAAGACGGAACTTCAGGGCAGGGGTCGTACTTCGCAAAATTTTCCCCAACGGGAAGACATCTTTTAACGGGAGAGAAAGGGAACACTTTGTCGCGACTACTGTGGCCTTTCAGCGACCCCTAGCGCAGCAATTTTAACACAGGTAGAAATAGGAATTCAAACTTTCAATAAAAAAATATAAAGCTCGCCAAGATTTCCCGCAGCAGCAGAGTGCTTAGCACCCTGCCAGGGCAGTGGGACGTTCAATCCTCAATTCGCTTACTTTGAAAAACTCCGGCATCAAGGCTGGAAGCACAATTGTCTGTTTGAACAGTTCTTTCGGCCCTTCAAGACCAGCTATGTCGTCCCACGTCACTTCTGTGCCATTGCGGGTCATAGTCTGCTCTATAGCTTCGACTAGATCCTAAAAATCACCAACTTGATGACTATCTTCATAACTCGGAGTGTTTCAGTGAACCTCAGGTTGTTTAGACTAAAAGAGTTTGTGAAACCAGGATTCTTCAAGAGAGAGACAGAGGAAAGTCGCGTACTACTCACTGGGCAGTATCCTCTTGGCACAAACTCATCGGTACGCTTTTCGTCTGTAGCTCCTTCTGTAGCTTCAGTCGCATTTCCAGCATTTGTAGAACCACTAAGATCATCATCCTTTGGACATGCTCTCAAAGTAGGTGGGCTAATATGCAATTCTTATATGGACTCTCACAAAAATAACCACGATTTCCTTCAAAAGGTGACCCGGATATAGGGGACTTTGTATCGAAAATGCCGCAACTGCTACCGTTTTAGCTTATCTAACTTACCTCTGCTTGGATTTTTTATCGGCAAGAGCATTCTGGCTGTTCGACTTCTTCACCGGTTTCTTTACAGTCACTGCCACTTTTTCTTCACCGTCATTAAGTCGACCCTGGAAAACCTAGCTATACAGTTTATCACGTTCGAAATTACTATAACAAAATATGAATGAGAAAGGAGAAAAACATTGGCTTTAATGGTAGCACAACCACTGTCGGTCAGTTTGCGTTCATACTTTGCGACCCGGGAGAATCGGTGCTATGGGAGGATACACGAAAAGGAAAGTACAGGTATCGATCGCCACTTGTTCGCCGCTCTTTCTTTAAAAGCAAAGGATCGACACCTAGAAATCGCTTTTTCTCCCAAACCTCAAATTCTCAAACCTGAAACGCCAAATCTTTCAAAACACTTGCGAAAGCTATCCATTGATACCTATACTCTCCTTTTTTCGAATACTCCCAAACGCCACCGAGATTTTAGTGGAACCCCCATTCTCCCACATTGCTAGCAACCGGCGCCACTCGATATTTATAATTTCAATTTCGCGAATTCTCCAAGAACGCCGATTTTTTTAGAACCCCGTTTCTCCCGAACCGCCAGCGAGCGACACCGATTGATACCAACATGCGAATTTTCGCAAAAAGCCAATTTTTCTTGAATGCCGACCTCCTCAACTGCTGTCGATTAATACTTAGCCTTTTTTCCGCGCTCTTGCCAAAAGGTCAATTCTGCCAAAACGCCGGTCCTCCCGAGTCTGGAAGTATAAACGCAGCCTCACTGGCTGTGGTTGTGTGATTAATCAAGCCACGAGCTCTGCACGAAGCCACTCGAAGCACGTTTGCTCTGCGAACACGATAGACAATACCTTGTTTGCAGTGGATTTTGTACGAGTAGTCTGAGTGGTAGTTCTTTTGGGGGGAGGTGCTGGCCAGACATCTGGATCTGCCGGAGGACTGTCAATCGGGTTCTCCAGCGATTGCATTGTTGCGTACATTTCCTTCACGCTGTCGGTTTCTTTTGCTCTCGCTTTTCTTTCTTTACGAAGCAGCGTGATTATCTGAAAAAAGATTAATAAAAATGAAAGCCTTTCACAGTTTTCTCGAAGCAAACCAAAATAATAATTGCCCACCGAAAAATGATGAAAGACTACAACAAACAATTGAACTAGGCCAGGGGGGAGGTGGGGGTTAAACCAATGAAGAAATTGCAGTACTTCCACCATTTTGCTGCTCGAAAGCAACCCGCGACTTCACTAAGACTGTCATACGCTCGATTTCTCAAACCAGAGACGAATGCCATTGGAGAACTTTGCCGTCTGTCGTCTCGCTCACCATTCTGTTCTTCTCATCCTTTGCCTCTGATCTCTCGTCGCATTAACGATAAGTTTTGACCTTTCGCTTCTTTGTCTACTCATTCGGTACCCAAAATTACTAGCAGGAAGTGGCCTCATCCATAGCCCTTTTGATACTTTGAATTAGGTCCCTTTTGCTGGATTCGTGCTTTCCCTCAATAGTAGGTCAAGACAGCACCTATAAAGTTGTATCCGAACCCCACTTTCAACGAGATATCAATCGCCTTTGAAAGTGATCAGACCAACTACACCCAGTCCCAAAATTCAGCACATAATTCAGTCGATCCTCCGTCGGAAAGCTCGCTAGGGTTTCACAGCCTGGTGTCATTTGACCTGCCGATCACGCGCATCACATCCATTTCGCCCGAAAACACCTGGCGCCACGGCTAAGACCGCGTTCAGACTTCGCGATGGAGCGATTGCGTCGCTTGAGTCGAACGACCGAATCGCCTGACTCAGGCGATCCAATCGCTTGAGTCGTACGACCGCTTGAGCGGTGCAGAAGTGCGTAATAGCAGAATACAAATCCGGAAATATGCAGACTGTTGATTTATGAGGAGAGTGATGGTTAAGGATGTGGATGTGGGTAGTCAAGGATAGTTTGCTTTAAAACGCCCCATCCCCACTGGCCCTCTGAAAAGGGCCGGTACTTTTGCTTTTCGGCACCTGTGCCGGAAAGCAAAGGGATTTTTGCTATTTTTGCTCGAGGGGCATCATAATGCCCTTTTGAGCAAAAAACTCGTCCCTAAGGGGACTCCATGCCGGTTTTTTTCGTGATTTCTTAGTGATTTTTTCGCGATTTTTTCGCCTTTTTCGCTCTTGAAGGTACGGGGAATCTCGTCCACGTAGACGGATAACTCGTCCACTGCCCCAAGAGACGGAAAACTCGTCCGAAAGGCGGACAACTCGTCCACTGCCGGTTTTTTCGCGGAAACGGGTCTTTAGGTACGGGGAATCTCGTCCACGTAGACGGATAACTCGTCCACTGCCCCGAAGAGCCGGAAAACTCGTCCGAAAGGCGGACAACTCGTCCACTGCCGGTTTTTTCGCGGAAACGGGTCTTTAGGTACGGGGAATCTCGTCCATGTAGACGGATAACTCGTTCACTGCCCCAAGAGACGGAAAACTCGTCCAAAGTGTGTCGTTAGGTCCGATTGAGGAACTTTAATGCAAAGTGGCTCCCAAGGTCCGTTGAAGACAGAATAGCCCAATACAGGCCCCGCCCCCTCGGTGAAAGCTCCGCCCACTCCGAAATCTGAATTTTTGGAAAATTTCGATTTTTTCGTTTTTTTCAGAAATTGGAAAACTCCGCCCCTTTGAACTAAGCCTAAGCCTAGGCAAATTTAAGCCTAAGCCTAAGCAAAGTGTGTCATTAGGTCCGCTTGTGGGAAACTCCGCCCACTTTTTTTAAACTGCCCAGTCATCTAAGGGCATCACAGATCTCTCAATCTCGTGCATCTAAACACCGCTTATCCCTCTAAGAAGTAGACTGGGACGTAAAAATCCAGCCACTATTTTAGCATTCTAGGGATTTGCTCGTTTTAGTAATAAACCAGACAAATCGCTCCACCAACTAAGAACGGCCATGCACCACCAACCACCAAATCGAGAAAGAGCTTTCAATCTGTCAATCCTTACGGTGTCCGGGCCGGGTGAGTTTTCCCGTGTTGAGTCAAATTAAGCCGCAGGCTCCACTCCTGGTGGTGCCATTCCGTCAATTTCTTAAAGTTTCAGACCTGGCAACCATCAATAGACACATCAATAGACATAACCCCCCTTGCAGAAAATATGGGAGTAGAAAAAAACT